GTGTAATTACAGTAGAATTCGGTGGTGTGAAACCCTCCAAAAAAGCCTGATGTTATCTGAAGTTACAGGTTAAAGATGGTTGAAGGATATCCACTGACTCAGTTTAGCCCTCTTTCTGCCGTTTCGGGCGGTGTCCTTCCGGCCCCTGAGACCGCGGCCGTTGTAGCGCAGGACGGAGGTGTCAAACCATCGAGCCGCCTCCAAGCGAGCTTCGGGGAGCAAGACAATTGGGTCGATAAGGTGGAAACAAACAAATAGCTCTTACTACAATGGGACTCCTCTCTTTAACTAGGCTTTGGTTACAAACATACTCGGTGCTTGGGTGTGTTTCATTGGTAGTGTTGTATGATGATAACGACTATAGTATAGTTAATTCAATATGTCAATATATAATGTGTATATAACATACATATATCCTTCATGCATATTCCTCTACAGCCATAAATAGAAATGGCACCCCTGCAGCAGGTCGCTGGATTCTTGACATCCGAGATCCCTGGCGACCTGTTGGTGACCCGTTGGAGGCTGCACCACGCCTTCTTGGATTGGCCTCCAGTGCCATCACCTCAAACGAGCGAAGAAGACAAGCTGTGGACCGTCAAGCTGCGTTGTTGGTTTAATGAATGTGCAGATTCAAAAATGTGAGCACCTGACCCAACTTGACAGTGGGCAGAAACCATCAGAAATCTGTTTTGTTTATATATATATATACAAATATTTGATGCCTTGGCCAACCGTGCACCAAAATGCCACTCACACAAGCCTTCAGTGGCCTTCCGGTCTAGTCCAATCGAGTCCTGCAAATTGCTGAGCGCAGAGCTGTTCTCACCAGCCACCAAATAGGGTTCCATGTACCTCAAAGGTGCACGCGGACTGCAGGAACCCAAGAACCCAACCGGACAGCCACATGAGGTCCAAAGGCTTTTGTGGGAGACATGGCTCAAAGCGACTGGAGGCATCGTCCGGAATGTGAGGGTTGTTCATCGCAAAGCTCTTCGAAATCTGGGTAGACAGAAACGCTTGACAACCAAAATGCTCTCAGTGGGAGTCAATGAAGCCGCAAACGACCTCAGCACCTCTTTTGTTGAAGGACTGGCAAGCACCCTTGCATCCTTCCCTCCCTTCATATATTTATGAGAAGTGTGCTCTCTGAATGATCTACTTATGTCCACTTGGTCACAGTCTACTCTTGCTGCCTTCATAGTCTAGTGCCTGTTAGCCCTGTCGTCTCAGCCATGTTCTGCCCTGACGCCATGCTCCAAGTCGCTCGGTATTGGACAACTGCCAGGAGGGCTGCGGCCCAATTCGATTCGTCACCCTGAGTGGACCGGGAAAAACACACGCCGTACGTGTTGATGCTGCATGATCGAATCTTCTATTTAGAGTATGTTTAGCTATATTTCTTGCACCAAGCCAAACATCATGAAAACCATCAAATACCAAATGATGACTCATGACTCATGACCATCAACTTTAACTTTTAGGTTTCAAAATGTTTGAAACATGTTCAATTCTTTGGCGCAACGGCCTGTAGCCTCTGAATCTTTCTTGGCTAGTGGTTGTCTGCGTGACTGGACAAAGCTCCTGGCACTGATGCCGAGCCAGGCCAATACGTTTGCCAGGCTTCTTTGGAACCTGAACCAAGCAAGGTGGGCAGGGTTGCGAAGCTGTACACTCGATTCACTAACATGGATGTGGAATCCAGTTTGTTTGTAGAGGAATAATGTGTTCCCAAAGGCCCTTTTCCCCTTCCATGTTGGTGAGTCCGGGGGTACATGTCATGTTGACGGTTGATGCACACTTTACCCCCCCTTGGGCCTCGATATTATGAACGACCCATCCAGGAGATGGCGGGGTTATTCATCAACAGTCAACAGTATTGTTCCAGGAGAGTGCCAACCACCCTGGGAGATCCAAGACATCCACTTGGGTCCACCTTTGACACGTTCGCCGATGCTGACACAATGATGACAAATGACTCAGTCAAAGATATATGTGCCATGGATTGCCATGGTTAAACTGACTTGTATTGGGGGAATGGTCATGCGGCATGGCAACAACCAAGCCTGACCCCGACCACATCACGTCATCATGTGGTCGTTTACAAGACCGAGTCGTCTACAAACCCCAATCGTCAGGTTCCATTAAGCTCAAGAAGACGTATTCCCGCATTAAACGTTCGATTGTGCCTATATGGTGGACATCCTAGGTTCTATATCCCAGGTAGATGCAGTGCTAGCATACTATTGACAATTTGTTGAAAGGCCGCTGCATTCTTCATGATCTACGTCCTGAACCCCTAAAAAAAAAAAACGTCACACCTGCCGAAGGCGTCTCGGCAAAGATGTTCGGGTCCACCACTTCTGAGCCGCGGACGACCGGAGCTGAAACCGTTCGGCGAGGAACTTAGGGCTAATGACTTAGGCTTTAGGGCCATGTCAGTGACATAGGCCGCCTTCATAGGCCTAAATGAGCTATTTTTTAAATTGCTTTGTGTGAACTATACAGTAGTTACAAAGAGCGGATTAATATAACAGGTACAGTAGACTCCCCTTCAAACCAAAGTGCAAGCATTCACGAATCCTTGGTCCTTGCAATGTACGTAGGGTGCGCCGGCATCGGCTCGAACCGATGTGCCAGGCGTTCTGTCATGGACAGGAAATCCTGGATGTGCAGCATTGGTCATGTCTACACTGGGAGGTCGTCTATCCAAGCACCGGAAGGTGCTGGAGGATTCTCATCCGCTCCCTCACTGATACACTGCAACCCCCTAAGCGATGGCTTTGCAAGGTGCGCCCAGCCAGCACATCAGCACACCTCTGAGGCTCTGAAAAGAGTGCTTTCACTCCACCCAAGAAAGTGTGGGCTACAAAGACCAACAAACAAACAAAAACCTCTTACTCGGGACTAGCATATGGACATGCTAAGAATCAATCAGCTCATCCCATTCTCTAAGAACCAATGAACCAACATGCAGTATGGGTTATTTCCTGTCTTGATCCTGCTATTATGCGTCCTCCATGTCTATGACACATTATGAAACAAAGTAGGTTCGGACTCTTTCCGTCTTTCCATCAACTGGCAAGCAAGGAGCGTGGAGGTATCTCCTCATGATAGCCGACATCAAAATGCTGAGGCGACTGATGGAAGAAGGCCTCTCAGACGGAGGTTTTGCCGTTTGGGTTGTCCAACATTTGGAGCCAGTTGAGCTTGGGGGTGAAGGGTGCACTCATCTACTTATCCTATTCCATGTCGATTGAGGAACACACGCAAATACATACAACCCTCCTGGATATTTCTGGGATCATACATAGAACAAGCTTCCTAAGTTCCTCTTATGTTCCTAGCATTGTTCATATTTGTTGAATAATTTTGATCCTTGATGCCCTAGCCATACACACTTATAGTCAATCACTAGACCTTCTGTCCCGGGCGCAAGCTCGAGGCCAGCTGTCGTTCCATGTGGGCTTGGTGCTTGTTGCTTTGGCTCCACATGAATGTCTTCGCGGTAATCTGCAGTGTCACACAGGAACTGCAAGACCTTGGTCTATGTCTGGAAATCTCTGAGAGGTCTTTGTTAAAACATCTTTGGCACTGATCCTTTTTGCCAACATCCCTTTGTAATTCGCTCGCTTTATGGTCGAAAAGATGCGAACAGTCTCTGAACATACCGGTCAAGGATTCATCAAGTCGGCCTCGTCATAGGTCGACTCGCCCTCGCTAAAATCATCGAAGAAGCGCGCCTCCCTCGGAGAGCCGAGGCGCCGGGCGGGCGGAGTCTCCGGTGGTGAGCGGTTTGGCGGAATGACACGAAATGTGAAACGCCTACTATCCAAACCAATGGAGGGGGGTTGGATGCTGAAATGAAGCAAGCTATAAAGAGATCTATAAAGAGTCAAAGTTGCCAAAAGGAGTTTCTCTTGTTCAGTCTCCACATTGTGGGTGGTCACCTGCTCGGAACTGGAGAAACGTGCACCGTCGCACCGTTGAAAGGACTCAGAATAAGGGCTTGACACATAGGGTGCTGATTTTCCTGCCGGATCGAGATGGCGCGGAATCAAACGAGCAGGCATTCAGGAGCAGTTAAGGCGAGTTAAGTGCTTTCAACTCTTGGACTTTGCAAAGTGTGAGCCTGTGATCATCCATGGTCTATTGCAAACACACATACAAAACCACAAGAAGTAGTCGCTTGGTACGAATGACGAACTTGGCAGGTTTGCTGGGTTCGCTGCAGCCATACCTATGAGAACCTCCAGAAAACTGGGAAAACGCCCGGGCAACCGAGTTTCATCTTCCTGAAGAAACATGGAAATTCCCGTGGGAATGATTTGCTTCTGCCAAGTTGACGTGCAAGTTCTTGAAGCTGTTTTAACAGGCTTTCTGGAATTAAGCTGTTCTTTTGAGAGGACTCTGGACCAAGCTGAGCACTTCAACTCGGTGAGCACTGCTCAAGCAATCCGAAGTCACCAACAATGGACGACAAACCTCCACCAAACTAAGGAGTTCTACACCAACGGCCTCCACCTTTCCACACCAGCGACCTCCACCAAACCCTTCAAACAAAGAACCGCGAAGAGCAGTCCTGCAAGGACCTTCCTAAACTCCACAGCCTGCGCTTCTTCGCCTCGGCCAGGAGATCCAAGGAGTCTTTTGGAGGTTACCCTGCCTCCAATTATATGTTGGTGTGGAACAAAATAGCTACAGCAACAATTAAGTGTGAATTTGTGTGCATCTTGCTGTTGATGATGTGGTTTATTCGCTTTTGCTCCATGCTCTAGGAATCATGTTCATGTTGTCAGTGAATTTAGGAATCATCGGCCACCAGCGGTGTTTGAACTCTTGACAGGGGCCATCAGCGGCGATGTTGGTACTCAAGAGTAACGGGCCATCAGAACATCGCGGCATTGCGGCGTACCAACTTCAGAAACAGGGGCCATCACCTGTCTTTGAACACTTGGGGGGAGTGTTGTCCTCCTTATCCTTTCTGGGAGTCAACACCAACATCAACCGGTGGGTCCAAATACGCGCAGGTCTGACCTTGGCTTGTGGCGGCCACCCCTCATGAATTGGTCTAACCCCAAACCCAAAGGTCACCAAATCCCAAAGGAGCATCATTGTGGCAAGTTTGAGGAATACTGGATACACTAAGGATGAGAAATGAGCTATGACTCAGAAACTCAGATCATTCAAAGTGCTTGCAACTCCTTCATATTTTCACAAGCCAAACTGCAACATCCTTCTTCTGTTCTAAGCAGTTGATCGAAATGATTCTGAGCACATCAGTTTCTTCTTCACTACCTTCACTGTTTTCACCGATGGTTGCTTCCAGCTGAACAATCCGCCGATCGATCCACCGGTTCACGCCACGAACCAGGCGCCCCACTCTCGAGGGCCTGCGCCTGCAGAGCTGATGGAGTTTCTGTTTTATTCCATCGAAGGAATGACAAGGAATTCAGTGACCAACAAATTTTCCAAGGTAAACACAACACAAAACACCTTGTACAGTCTTGTTGCTAGTGGATGGTAATCGATAAATCAAAGTAAAGCCACCTTCTCGAGTCGAAGCATCGAAACTTGTGTCTCAAATGACACCATAAAGACACACTGAATATAATATCTGATAAGTTCTGATAATATCTGGGCGTATCTAGGTTGAATTAGCGTTCTGAGCGACTCCACTTAATTAGTTTTGCATCTTGAAATGTCATTCCCCCGAAGTTCGATTCATTTAAAAGGAGGGGTTGTCAATCGAGTGCCTTTCACTTTCATGGCACAATTTCCAGATCCCATGGGCTCTTTCAGACTTAGACTTCGGGCCTCTCAAATCAATCTTATTGAATCTCTCAAAAAAATCATCCATTCCATTCATTGGCCAAATGTTAGTATATATTGCATCCTTTTTTAGGGGACCTATACACTGCATCAAGTATATTCAAGTATAGTGAGTTCACCTTATGACAGAAATATGAAAAACAACGAGTTCATCAATGTCAATGTCAACCATATAGTCGGAATGTGAGAAGGGGATTCTTGTTGCCGCTGGTCTGTAGATAACAACAATGCAAATCGCCTATGATTGACCATACTAGCCATGTCTGCAAGCTGCCTGTGGCCACGGATTTTTACCTGGAAAATGCTTGACCATCTCAACGGGGATTCAGAACTCAACCTTGATCCTCTCTGTCCGCAAGGGGAGTCCACATGGGCTTGACCTTCAACTGACAGACTGAGTGCTCAAACTGACTCATGGGCTGATCCACATCTCTCTCCTCTTTCATTTTCCAGGTCTGCCAAACATCACCATCACCCAGCGGCGTGGCCGAACGGCCCAAGCTTTCTGTCGCGCCTGCTGCGCTCTGCTGTTTCTTCGGAGCGCAGCCAAGCCCTCGGAATACAGCCTCCATGCAGTATACTTCGACGAATGTTGCTTTCGGAGCACGAATAGAACAGGGAACCTTCAACATTCCAAGAAAATTTGTGAACTGAAGAACTATTCTGCAGGGCTCCAAGCCTTGAAGGACTAAAGGACAACAAAAAGCCCAAATAGCAGGATTTGTCACATGCCAAAGGCCAAGCATCAAAGCACCATTAGAGTAGTGCAGCCTTTGGACTACCCCTTTGTTTGCGTTGTTTTCTTTTTGGTTGGTGCAAATGACTTTGATAAGCATCTGCGTACGTAAGCGAATGGTGAGAAAGTTGTAGATAACTCTCGGCAAACAACCCTCATTTGAGTACATACTACATACGTATAAAAAAAACAAACAACTATGTATCACCTGTTGAACATTTGCCTTGCAAAAAGACTTGCAAACACATGTCCTTCTCAGACCAAGACTTGCCAGGTTTCACCAACATTGAAATTATAATGCAGCAACACAGCTGATGCAGTAGAGTCTGTCCAGCTAAGCACAACAGCAAGGGCAAGAAGTCCGGTGAATGAAAAGCCACAGTTGAAATGATATGGGGGTCAAGTGCCAGTAACTGTAGATAGAAAGGTGCTTTGACGTCCTTTGAGTCTGGCACCAAACCTTAATTCACCTCCAGCAACAACTCGCTTCAACCCCAGAAGGCACCCTGCTAAAAGGGCGCATTGAAGGTATCTGTACCTGCCCAGTGACGTTCCATTCATCTACCGACCGAGCGTCATCGGCTGTCCCGAACAAGAACCAGTCAGTAGATTCACCCAACTTCGCAACTGTGTGAACAGAAGAAAGAAAACCCGGAATGCAAGACATAAAGAACATGGTCGATGAGACAACTCACTTTATACGCACACAAATCTTGCCTTCTGCCAATTGACACCACACATGTTTATCAAAGCAACTGACTCACCACTATTTGATTAACTTTGAATGTCCCCAGTATCAGGCGAAGACTGGCTGCTTGCCTTACAACATGCAAATGTGTCCGAACAATCTCCCTTTAGTTCTTGGTCCATTTGACAACTTCCAAAGGCCAGTAAGATGCAGTAAGGACATGTAAGGACTATGGTACACCGCAGTGGTTTTGCTGTTCATGTGGCACTGGGTCATGGCACCGGGGGGACCCCTTTTTTTCGCCTGCTGAATACACACACATTATTCCTTCAGTGAAGACTTCAGTCACATTCTGAGTGAGAGTCAACATATTTGGATAACAAGCAACCATTGATTGGTTAGCTCATAACATGTTATAACGTATCAATCTAAGAACAAGCTTGTTGGGCATTGGGCCAGTACTTGTCGCAATCCTTGCTTTGACAGACTTCGCAAGAGCTGGCCACCTTCCACGGCACGCCAAAACGTGTATCTATCAACATCTACAAACCTTACAGTCTCACGCGATCAAACAGTTCACTGGATCCTACAGTATAAGTCTTCATCGATCCAAACATGATCAAACCATCTCCACCGGATGGGGCACATGTGGTTCGGTAAGCAAAACGCGCTCAACCCGGACCGAACTCGCGCTCCGCAAAACGCGAGGACCGGGGATGCTGAGCCCAGACGGGCGAGGCGCGTGGAGGTGAACGGGCGCGACGGGCGACACTCGGGAAACAAAAGCCTGGAGTCTCATGGGTGAAGTGAAGGGAAAACCATGGAACTAATGGGATCTAAGTTCTAAGAGCATGGTTTGCTACACGACTTGTTGTGCTTCTCTACTTCTGAAAAAGGGTATCACAACTGGCATTGTCGTACTTGCCTCCGAAAGGCGAACCCCACCCCGAGGGCCTGGTATGCAGAGTTCACATCAAGCGGTCAGTCAGAGGATGTGGAACGGTCCACCCAGCTCACATCGCAATACTTTGCAACTGGATTGATTATTCTGAGTAATTATGAAGAAGTATAGAGGTTTTGGATGTAAAACATGTATAGTCTAGTCAGGTATCCATCTGAGGCACACCGTGCGCCAATTTCATGCATTTGGGATCCTCAATAGAGATGTAAAGACACGGAAGTGAAACGCTTGCCAAGACCCGCTCCTTTAAGTTAACAAGTGGGGTTCTGCTTCCATGCTTGTGAGGCCAAGTGTAACAACATCATTTTGTTGCACGCCTTGCTGGCCCTCCTTCATTTGGATCAGCATCTTACAGTTTGTTGTGGTGACAAACAGGCTGGCCTTCGTCAATGTAACGACACTGACTTACACCTCCACAACACTTGCCAATATGTTTGACATGTACAAGGGAGGGTCCGTTGCCTTCGCCCGAGCCCGACATCACCCTTGGTTTTGCAACGAGGAGAGGCCAGCAATTGCTAGGCCGGTTGAGGTTGGGCAGCCTGAGCCTTCGATTGTTTCTTATTCTGCGTGTGAACATGTCTGAACATGGTGGCATGTAGCTGCTCAAGCTGAGTATGCACATTGAAAAACACTGCAGGTGAGTGAAGAAGTAGCGACATGAAGAAACCTGCCAACTTCTTCTGTTTTTGTTTTTGAAATTAATGTCAATGTCATGTCTAGGAACACTTGTCTTCTCTAAAGAATATAGGCTGCCAGGACTCTTCCAAGTTGAAGAAACCGAAAGCTGCTTCTTACAGCTTACACTCTACATGTTCTTCGTCCATCGACCAAGCTGCATGAGCTCAAGAACTTACATAGTGCTTCACTAGATTCGTGGCAAGTTCTCGTCTGGTGGAAACTGATGCAATTTATGACGCAATGTACAGCAGCTTGGGCATGGGTCCAGCCACCCCAAACAGGAACTCCGGTCTGGGCTTTTCCGTGTAGGCTCACCGTGGATTGGTCAGATTGGACGAAAAACCCGCCCGGTCGGTTCCCAGATTTCAGAAACCATTTCGCCCACCGAGGATTATGTTTCCTCTCACGGGTGACACCGTTCAGCTGACGCGCGACGATGCGTCAGCAGGTCTTGGCGGAGATGTCAGTGAGGGCCTCAGCAGGTCGAAGCGACTCCTTTTCACTCCTCTGGTCATTGTGCTTCTGCTGGTCATTGCATGAAGCAACCAAATGGTGTCTGTGAGCTTTGAGGCAAACTGTAGCTTCATCATGTTTCGTTTCGTCGTCAATCATTGAAATGAACATTACAGTAACATAAAAAGAACAACTGTGCTCTGGGAAGTATCATAGAAGTCCCTGCAAGGGGAGGCTGCTGTTGCGTGCGGACCCGTATGTATCGTACCATCCGTTCGCTATAACACAAAGGGAAAAACACAGTTCAACCATCATCAAACTCTGTGTGGGGAACGAAACAAACTAGGCCGAAAACATCCGAAAACGCAAACCAAAAGAGACACGGTTCGCTTTGAGATTCGGAAGCAGCTTCTCTTTTGCTTGAAACGAACCCACGACGAGGCGTGGAGTTTCACGGTAAGGGTGCACCCTCCCAGCGATAAACACCGAACCTCACCCAGCAGTTCCAATCGGAACGGCTTTGAGTCCCAAGTGGATGTTCTGGGCACCCGAGTCCCATCCAATCAGCACCCCTTTGGAACTGCTGGTAGACCTGTTTCTTTCTCAAAAAAGAAAGTCATGCGTCCAAACCCCTGGTGCCAGGCGTCATGGACGCCGGAACGTCAGGAGTGGTCGCTGTCCCGACGGGGGGACACCACACGACTCCCACATTTGAAAGCTTCGGTGTGAGCACAACACCACACCGCACCGTTCAGCTGGTTGGTTGTCACAGGTGTCATGGTTCACACCGCATGGTTGAGTTTACGTGGTCCACAGATTTCAGCACAAATGTCCATGGGAAATGATACAGATTGTCACCTTCTCACCGGAGGACAACCCATCGCCTGGTCTACACCTGCAGCGGTCCTCGGGTCCCCCACTAAGGACACCTGCAGCGGGTGAGCAGTGTCACCGGGTGAACAGTTCGATCCGCTGCCAGCTGGGCATCGTTCCCAAATTCACTAAAATGGAAACACTGTGTTTTCTGGGAGAACATGGTGTATTTTCTCAACTTGATTCAGGAGGGCCTAGAGTTTAGAACATGGTGTATTTTCCTAGAGTTGATCTTATCTTTTCTTCAACTCTAGGCTCTCCTGGTAGTACATCATCATGATAGTACATCCAAATCTAAGATCCAAAAAGCTGTCGAATGCTATTCATGCCTTGACTCAAAGTACATCTAAATACCGTATTAAACAAAATACGTATATAACTAATTTGTCCAAGTCCTGGACGTCTAATCAGGTCCCATCATGTCTCTCAACCTCCAACAGCCCCCAAACCGCCCCCTTTCCCTCCAAATCGCCGGCTCCACCCGCTTCCAACCCCTTCCAAAGCCCCGGTCCGTTGGCATCCTCTCGGCGCCGCCCCGTCCTTCTCCAGGAGTTGCTTGTTCAAACGCAGCTCGCATTCGCTCATGGCCTCCTGGCACTCCGGAGAGAACAGAAGATCCACCGAAGCGACACGGGGAGACCCGGAGAGGAGGAGGAGGAGGAGAGGAGAACGAACGGTGACCCGACGAACGAACGGTGGCCAGTGGCCCAGAATCCTCATGAATCATCAATCATGAAAAGTAGCCAATTCTTTTGAACAACTGCCAAGTATCCCACACTTGACAAATCAACAAATCAAGCATGATAGGAACATGGCAAAAGAGTCTTGCACGTCATGCGCTTGAAACGTGTCTCATTCTATTATATGTTTGATCTATAATGAATAATGATCTATACTACCTTTTCCATGACTGCAAGCCAAACCCCACATGTGGCCAAACAAGGCCTCAGAGTTTGGGCAAGTGGAGGACTTCCCCAACCGAGGGAGTAAAAGGATGCGCCATGTGATGAACATCACCAGGGGG